TCCTAATAGAAATAGAGACTGAATTCTTTTTAGATGATAAGAAGTAAATAAAAAGCAATAAATTAAGTGGCTGCCCCAAAGAAGAGGGAGTCAAACTATTCTCCAAAGCACCTGAGGGTAAAACAAGAAGCAATGGGTGGAAACTAATCAAGGAGAGAAGCAACTTAGAACTAAGGAGAAATTTCCTGACTGTTAGAACAATGAATCAGTGGAACAGAAGTTGCCTCTAGAAGTTGTGAATGCTCCAACACTGGAAGTCTTTAGGAAGATGTTGGATGGCCATTTGTCTGGAACGGTATAGGGTTTCCTGCCTAGATAGGGGGTTGGACTAGAAGACCTCCAAGGTCCCTCCATTATTCTATTCTATTCTAAATGCTCTGTTGTCTTCCTTTCAAATGTTAATAAGTTCCACTACCTCCCCTACCAGCTCAATAGGTCCTGCCAGGGAAATAATTAAAAACATGTGTAGTGAAACTAGTTCCAGGTAGCTTCCTAAAGCAGTTGGCTTTCGTTTTTCTCCTGTTTTTTTTCACCTTTGCTACTGTGGGATTACCTGGAGGATCAAGTACTAATCCAGTCTGATCCCTTTTCAAGGCCACACAAGGTGGAAAATGTATCCCTGCTTGCAAATGTTTCAAATAAGCACATAGGATGTTTTTACTGTAAACTATCTGTGTAGAAATTTCTTTCCCCGTGTAAATGGGGCTGGTGGAAACCTGAAAGCAAATTTTTGATATAAAGTTGCTGCCTTAAGCATTTAGAAACAACTTTTTTTTTTTAAAGTACAGAGTTTTATTTATGACCAGGGTAAAAGACCAGGTAATCATTAATTTACTACCACTCGTTGAAAGTTGCAACAGCAGTGGAAAAAGAGACATGATTATTTCTCACACTTACAATCACTGCAGCATTTCATGGTCACCTGATCAAAATTCAGCCGCTTGGGAACTGAGTCATATTTATGATGGTTGCATTGTCCTTGGGTTGTTGTGATTCCCTTTTGTGACCTTCTAACACGTGTGGTGGCTCAGTGGCTAAGATGGTGAGCTTGTCAATCAGAAAGATCAGCAGTTCGGCAGTTCAAATCTCTAGTGGCACATAACAGAGTGAGTTCCCGTGACTTCTCCCAGCTTCTTAAAGAGAGCCGAGGTGGCGCAGTGGTTAGGGTGCAGTACTGCAGGCCGCTTCAGCTGACTGTTATCTGCAGTTCAGCGGTTCTAATCTCACCGGCTCAAGGTTGACTCAGCCTTCCATCCTTCCGAGGTGGGTGAAATGAGGACCCGGATTGTTGGGGGCGATATGCTGACTCTGTAAACCGCTTAGAGAGGGCTGAAAGCCCTATGAAGCGGTATATAAGTCTAACTGCTATTGCTATTGCTATTCTCCCAACCTAGCAGTTCGAAAGCACATAAAAAATGCAAGTAGAAAAATAAGAACCACCTTTGGTGGGAAGGTAACAGCGTTCTATGCGCCTTCAGCATTTAGTCATGTCGGCCACATGACCACGGAGACGTCTTCGGACAACGCTGGCTCTTCAGCTTTGAAACAGAGATAAGCAACGCCCCCTAGAGTCAGGAATGACTAGCACACATAGGCGAGGCCTTTACCTTAACAAACAAAGTCAATGGAGAAGCCAGATTCAATAGCTATATTATTAACACAGTAATTCCCTTAACTGACAAGAAAAGTTGCAAAATGTTGCAAAACTCACTTAGCAACTGCCTTGCTTAATAACGGAAATTTTGCGCACCTGATACAGGTAGTTCTTGATTTAGGATCACGATTGGGACCAAAAAATTTCCATTGCTAAGCAAGGCGGTTGTTAAGTGAGCCATACCTAATTTTATGATCTTTTTACCATGGATATTAAGCAAATTGCTGCATTTGTTAAGTGAATCAAATGGTCATTAAGCAAATCCGGTTCTCCCATTTATTTTGCTGGAAGATTTCAAATGGCAATCATGTAACCCACGGAACACTGCAATCACTTAAATACATGGTGGTTGCCAAGGACCTAAACTTTGACCCCATGAACCACAGGGATGCTACAATGGTCATAAGGGCGAATACTGGTCACTAAAAGAAATGATTGTAAGTCCAGAACTACCTGTACAGGAGTTAGTTGTTGTTGTTAGTTGCAAAATTGTGTCCAACTCATTGCAATCCCATGGACAATGTTACTCCAGGCCTTCCTGTCCTCTACCATCCTCTGGAGTCCATTGAAGCTCACGGCGACTGCTTCAGTGATTCCATCCAGCCACCTCATTCTCTGCCGTCCCCTTCTTCTTCTTTTGCCCTCCATCTTTCATTAGGTGGCCAAAGTATTTGAGTTTCACCTTCAGAATCTGGCCTTCTAAAGAGCATTCGGGATGGATCTCCTCTAGGACTGACGGGTTGGATCGCCTTGCAGTCCAAGGGACTCGCAGGAGTCTTCTCCAGCACTTCTCCAGAGTTCAAAGGCCTCCATTCTTTGGCGCTTATCCTGCCTTATGGTCCAACCTTCACAGCCATCCATTGCAACTGGGAAAACCATCGTCTTGACTAGACACGCTTTTGATTGGCAGGGTGATGTCTCTGCTTCTTAGGATGCTGTCTAGATTTGCCATAGCTTTGCTCCCCAGGAGCAAACGTCTTTTAATTTATTGGCTGCAGTCCCCATCTGTGGTGGTCTTGGAGCCCAGGAAAATAAAATCTGTCCTCCACTACCTCCATTTCTTAACCATCTATTTGCCAGGAATTGAGAGGGCCGGATGCCATGATCTTAGTTTTCTTAACGTTGAGTTTCAAGCCAACTTTTGCACTCTCCTTGTCCAGGAATTACAAATGCCTCGAATGTGGAAAGCAAGGCCTGTGTGTTAATTGTCACGTTGTTTGCTCCTCAGGTTTGCAAGACGACCATGACCTCAAGTTCCTGCTGCGGGGAAGTCACCTCTTAAAAGTCAAGTCCACTTCCTGGAGAAGAGAGAGGTTTTACAAGCTCCAGGAAGACTGCAAGACCATATGGCAGGAATCCAAGAAGATGCTTCGATCCCCAGAGTCACAGCTTTGTAAGTATCCGGCTATCACACTCTGGGTACACCACCCTATAATAGAGTTATCGCAAAGGTGCTTTTTCAAAACTCAGCTGGACAGTTTTTTCCTTGAGGAAATAAAAAGATGTTTCGCTTCTCATCCGATATTTCCATATTTCTTTGCAGTCATCTGGTCATTAGCACGCTCTCTGAGAGCCGTTGAAGTCACTTGGAGTTTATCTGTGCGAGGGGTGAAATCCAGCAGGTTCTGGAGAACCGGTAGCAGAAATTTTGAGTACTTCAGAGAACCAGTAGCAGAAATTTTGAGTAGTTCAGAGAATCAGTAGCAAAATTTTGAGTAGTTCAGAGAACCAGTAATGGAAATTTTGAGTAGTTCAGAGAACCAGTGGCAAAACTTTGAGTAGTTCAGAGAACCGGTAGTGAAATTTTGAGTAGTTCGGAGAACCGGCAAATGCCACTTATGGCTGGCTCCAGAATGGGCTGGAAAAGAGATTTTGCAGTATCCTTCCCCTGCCGCGCCCACTAAGCCACACCCACCAAGCCACACCATGCCACCAAACTATGCCCACAGAACTGGTAGTAAAAACAATTGAATTTCACCACCGATCTGCGCCCTCCATCCAGGGGTGGGTTGCTACGGGTTCGGCCAGGTTCAGGAGAACCCATAACTCACGTTATGGCCAGTTCGGAGAAACTCCAAATCCACACACCCTGCCCCTCCCTGCCCCTCCCTGCCCTCCCAGGAGTAAAATGGGATGCATCCCGTTTTTGATGCAAGGTAAATGGGGGGTCCGTGCGGAAGCTCGGGGAGGGGGAAAATGGGCCTCCTGGAAGTTCCGGAAGGCTGGAAGTGGGCCTGTTTCTGGCCTCCGGAGCCCGGGGGAGGCAGTTTTCACCCACCCAGAGGCTCACGGAAAGCCCCTGGAGTCTGGAGAAAGTGCCCCCCCACTGCAGTAGTGCAGGAGGCCAACTAGGCCACACCCACCATGGCCACGCCCACCCAGCAACCAGGCAGAGAGCCCATTGCTGAAATTGTTGAAGCCCTCCCCTGCCTCCGTCCTATCAGAACCTATCCTTCCGTTTCTCACCATCCAATCAGAACTGATGTAGCTTCTTGGAGGAAAAGCGAAACTTCCTCCTCCTCCTCAAATAAGGAAACAAAGTTTTACTGCTTTTTGAAAAAGCACCTTTGGAGAATATGTAAACACAACAACGGATAGAGTGGATGGAGGGAGGAGTAGAAGGAAAGATAGGAAGGAGAGAAACGGAAGGATAGGTTCTGATAGGACGGAGGCAGGG